GGGTTTGTCCCGGGCTTCTGCTTCAAATTCTATTTGTTGACAGAGTCCTTGCTCATCTACCAAGTCGGCTGTGCGCCGTATTTGCCCCGAAGGGGCCTTGTGGGGTGAGTAAGCCTTAAGTCTGAGCAAAGATAAAGTTTTTATTGCCGGGCAATTGGAGTCGACCACGGTACAGCCGCAGAATTTCCCACTCCCTACTCGACACTCCCTACTACCTACTCTGCAGAATGTTTTTCTACTCCCCACTCCTCATTCCCAACATTCCAACTTCCCCACTTCCCTTCTCCCCACTTTCCACTTCGCAACTTTCCAACTTCCCAACTCCCAACTTCCCTACTCCCCATACTCTATTCCCAACTCCCTACTTCCCATTCCCTACTCCCTGTGGTGTCGTCAACATTGTCATTGTCATCTCCATTGTGGCTGCCGGTTCCTATTGAAGACCTGATTTGCTTGGCATACAAATATTTTCATGTGCTTTCTTTGGCATTAATAAAGCCTCCAAATAGCCGTAAGCTTTTATGTCCAGTAGAATGTGATGATGCTTTAAGCCTTTTACTCTTTAATAAAATTTTGTGATTTAAGCCTTTTTCGCTTTAATTCAATTTTGTAAGCGATTTAAAGAGTTTAGCTTCGTGTTATACCCTTTCCAGAGGAAGGCAAGCTGAGTCTGTGTTTATACTAACTTATCTTTTTGCCTTTAAGATTTTTAATTAAAGATAAGGACGAATATATGCCGAGATCTGCCAAAGATTGAGTTTAAATATTCACTTATTTCCTAACATGGTACCAAAATATTTGAAAAAAATCAGATCACGAAAAATGTTTAAATGAGAGATACTTGATCTGTGCATATTATTCTAGAAGCTAAATGTCAAATTTGGCGGCTCTAGCTCTTAAGCTCTAGCTCTTAAAAAAAAAACAGGATTTTGACATCGAGTCTTATCGATTGCTCGAAATCGGGCCAAGTTATCGATTATCAGAAAGTAACTCATACTGCGCGGAGGACCTAAATTTTAAATTTCAATGTCTCTAGCTGTTATAGGTTCTGAGATCCTTGAGTTCAGATACATGGACGGACGGACGGGAAGACAGACGGACAGACAGATAGACGGTCAAGACTAGATTGAACCGGCTGTTGATGCTGAACAAGAATATACATAGTATAGTAGGTTGGAGATGTTATCTTTCTGCTGAAGAAGAATATATATAGTATAGTAGGTTGGAGATGTTATCTTTCTGCTTATTACATACATTTGCACAAATACATTATACCCATTTTTACCCATTTTTAATTAGTATCATGAATGAAAGATGGAACTTTAGCTCTCTCTATAATAATCAAATTATCAGACAACATAGAAACATATATTGAATTTCTAATATGTAAGACAGGGTATTTAATCTTCGTTAACGCAAAGATAATTTATTTCTCTTGCTTGAGAATGAAATTTATTTACAATTGTTGGTGAATATAATTTTTGGCTGGGATAACATTGAAAAGTTTCATTGTTTCGAGCAACTTTTTCCCAACGTGTTTCCGCAGCCGTAAAGTAGATCATCGTTAAGCTAATTTGGCAGTCCACATTAAATATTAGATGAAGGCTAAGAGGGACTCTTTAGCAGCCCATTTTAGAGCTTTGAGGTTGTCCAATTGCCCATCAAATGACACCTTTGTCAAGGGTCTAGGCCACTTGGAGCTGTTGTCGGAATTCGATAGGCTCAGGAACATCCGCAACAAGGCCATAAAACTGCCAACTTTTCTCCTGATTACACCTAAAAACTAATCCCGTAATGTAACCTTTAACAGGACGTGCCCCCAAAGTCAAAGCCATTAGGGATTGTTGAAATAACTTGCAAAGTAAATGCTGGAAAATGTTGAATGTGGCTTTAAAGAAATTTTTAGCTCACCTGAAACTTTGGGTTTTTATAATAAATCTGTCCTACAATCAACTGTCAGAACAGCAGCCAGTCATATTTAACATTTTATTCACAATTCAAATCAAAGTTTTCGCACCATAAACCATGCTTTGCCTGAACTTCGCCCAACATTTCATGTGCTCTCCAGGTAAGCATTCAGCTTTGTTATACCCTTGCAGTGGGGTATTTTAATTTCCTCACAAAATTTGTAACTCATGGATGAAGATATCCGACAATTAAATGTATTCTTGGTTAGTATGCTTAAATTTGAGTTATGCTTAAAAGCATTCTTCTATATAATTTAACTTACATAGTTGGGGAAATTTATAGCCTATCCGGCAAGCTAAGCCTAAGCTCCTATTCATAGCTATGTCTCAGACATTATGGAATCTAGACCCTTTCATTTCTGAGAATCCCAAATCCCGCCAAAGTTAGTAGGGTATATCTATAGAGAATTTTATAGCCTGTCTGTGAAGGGTATTCAAACTTCGGCTGTGCTTCAACAGACAACATTTACAACATGTTTTATTTCGTTGTAAGTTTTGAAACTTTGCACTTCAATTTGGAGTGCATGCAAATAACATGCGGCAACTGCGGCAGCTGCCACACCAGAGAGAGAGAGAAAGGGGGGGGGGGAGAGCGGGTGTAAGAGAGAGGGGGAGAGGGGGGCACACTTGGTCACAGTTGCAGGTTGTTGTGGCATGCGGCAATTCGCATTGATTCTCACCGGCTGGCATCTGAGTCTTCGCTTGATTGGATATGCTTAGACGGCGGGCCGGCTGATAAATGGCGCATGTTACACTTAATATATACACATTAAATGTGTCCCTGTGTGTGTGTCCTGTGTGTGTGTATGTGTCTTTCGTGTCGTTTTAAGAGTTCAAGGTTGAGCTTAAGTCTTGAGCTGCAACCGAAACGCAACAAGCGCACTTTTGCCTCGGCTACAAAAGTCACGTAGACGCATAATTAACAGCAGCGCCAGCCAGGGATAAAGGACCTTTCTTCCCCTTCGCTCCTTCCTTCCCTGCCTTTCCCTTCCTCCCCCCCTCCAGGCAACTCCCAGCTAGCTTCTGGCTTTTCCCCCAAAGGTTTATTTGAACATACGCGCTTGCTTTGTGAAATTAACAGCAGCATAAGGTGACACCTTCAATTTTTACACACACACACACACACACACCTACACTAATACCTGCACACGCACACCTGCACGTGCTCCAAAAAGTTTTGTGCCTCCAATTTTTGTAGTTGATTTGCGGCTCCCTTTTTTTTTTTTTGTCAGCTTTTACTTTTTACGAGCATTTGGCATGCGCCCCTTTAAAGGAAAGAAAACTTTGTGTTTTATGGAAATTGAACCTTTTCTAATGAAGCTGCAGCAACAGCAACAGCAACAGCAACAACAACAACAACAACATCTATTGACACCGTGTTGCATATTTTAATAAAGTTTCCCTTGGCCATGTTTATGCCTCTAGTTTATTAGCCCGTAAATCAAACTGTTGCGGAGTTTACAAATAACACCTGAGAGGCATACCTGGAAATTTAATGAATCGACCTTGAAAGCTAACAGATGGCGGCTCGAATATTTATATGTGGCTTGTTGCCGGATAACCAAATCTTGGGGAAACCAAAGCAGTTTTGAGCTTAATCTTAAGTCGAGGCATTAATTGGAAAAGCAAACAAATTTAAGAGAAATTTGCTTGGTGAAAGTGACGTCAGGAGCGCGCTGCTGTAAATGTCTGAGCGTCGGACTGATAAACGGCAAGCCGCTGGATCAAATCCAATATTAATACCCTGAACCCATTAAAAATGGGCACAAGGGTATATTGTATTTGTGCAAAATCCAAACGTATGTAACAGGCAGAAGGAAGCATCTCCGACCCCATAAAGTATATATATTCTTGATCAGCATCAATAGCCGAGTCGATCTAGCCATGTCCCCAAACTTGACATATAGCTTCTAAAATACAATATACATATATATGCATTTGATGTTGGAAGAAGAGGGTTCAGGGTATCCCCTAGTCGGGAGACTAGAACCTCTTACTTGTCATTTTTGGGTTAATGCCGCAAATTACCCAAAAGAAGGTTTGTAGGATATTTAACAACATTCCTTTTACACGGGCAACGCCGGGTTACTTTTATCGGTGTAATACACTTAATTTAATTGTGCACATCCTGTATAAAATTACAGCTGCATTTTGGTCAACTTAAGACGAAGTAGTTGATTTTTCGTAGCCAGCTTGATAACAGGACGCGCAACAGGATATCCTGTTGAAAATTAAATTCTTTATTTATATATATGAGAGAGGAGCAGAAGGAGATGTGAGATGGCCATCAATCAAAAAAATGCTGTCGGTATTTAGCCACAAAAAAATTTAAAATTTGCAAGCTGAAGTTGACAAACAGATTAACATTAAGGCCACAGTTTTTGTGGGGTGCCCAGAAACAGAAGCGAGCTTTGCGCAATTAATGTAGATTAAACGTGGCCCATTAACACGGCTTTTAATAAAGTATACGCCACGCGTGCTTGGGCGTGGCAAGGTGCTGGAAACGGCCATCGAGTTGTGATGATGATGATTGATTTACCCGTGTCCATGGGATCTTGGCTCCAGCAATCAGGACCAAGCCTTCGCAATGAGTTTTTCTTCTCATACCAGCAGGTTAAGCATACAAAGTACTCGAGGATTGATGCATAAAACTCAGACATATCCTGTAGGCAATGCGAATTGGTGCGTTGCAGCTGTGCGAGTGTATGTAACAGGCAAAAAGAAACATTTCCAAACACTTTTTTCTTATCGAAGCGATGAGCTGAGATGAATGAATACAGGGTATACTAAGGGTATACAGGCAGAAGGAAACTTTTCCAAATCCATATTCTGTTATGGTACGTCAATGTTTAATACAGGGTATACAGAAAGAAGGCAACATTTCCGAGTCCATTTTCTTGATCGAATTGACGAACTAAGGCGAACATGTGTTACGGCAGGTTGGTTCTGAATACAGGGTATATCCTTTTTGGGCACTGACAAACTTTTGTTTTCGTTGTGGCTTCTCATATGCTTTAATGTTGCTTATTTAAGGCATTTTTGACTATAGACGCGCACCTGCAGCTGCGTTATGCGAATGAGACAAAACATTTGTTGCTGCCAGCACCGAACACACACACACACAGGCACATTCACTCGCAGTCAGACACAACTAGCGCCGCGTGTGGCCGCCAATTTGAATTTGGGCCCAATTGCACGTGCCCACAGACAATTGCGGCCTCTCTGTTTACGAATGTGCGTATGAAAACAGAGAGAGCACAAAAAGCGAGGCCGACGGGGCAAAGCGCAGACGCAAACCAAAAGTGCACGCAGTCGGCAAGCAGCACGACAACACTGGCCAATCGTTTTCATTTAATAGTACTTGTTATATATGCGCGCAGCAAGACAACACTGGCCAAACGCGGGCAATGTACGGTACGTTTAAACACTTTACAGTTTTGTATTAATGGTTGTTAAGTAAATTGAAATCGTTGGCAAATTATAAAATTAGATAAAAAAAATTTGGCTTATTACATAAGATTTTCTCTTATCGCACGCAGCAGCATCAACAAGCGGAATCAAATAGCAGCAAACGCGCAGCAGGAGCAGCTGAGACACAGGCCGCTCCATCCCAATCAGAACCTCTGACAGGCGAAGGGGCGGGCGGGGGCGGGTGCGCACATACTGAGCAGAGGCACTGTTGGAACATTTGGGCAGCGATTGTCGTCCACAGTTCGACGGCAAAGTCGCGCGCGAACAGTTCGAAAAGACGGGAGAAACGCGTTGCGTCGCGTCGCTAGAAAACTTTGTTCGGAAAATGTTGAGCGTGGAAAATGCCGGCGGCAACATTTTTCGAAACGTAATTCAATTGAAATCTAAATTAAATTTGTGCTAAATAAACACAAAGCCTTAAACAATAAGCTAGTAAAAAAAATTGTAAATATTCAATTAAATGAATCCCAGAAATATTTACAAAAAACAAATCATAAATAAAAAACGCTTTTTATTGTCGACTTTTGTTTCGTGCGGTGCAGGAGCTCACATTGAATTCTGAAAACTCATTTCCTGGTAAGTCTTACATATAGAATTTTTTTAAATTAACCGGAATTGAAATAATTAAAAACTGTACAGTGAAACCACCGACGAGGTTTGCTTTACACTTAAAAGCCCTTGTTATTTGAGACGAATATTCAGAGAGCTCTCTGAGTATTTGCTGTGTGCAACAGGAAGTGCTTAATAATGCACCATAAAATAAACAATTGACTAACTAATATTATATTTCAAACTTGTGCAATTGTTTAGCTGAACAACTAAATTTAAACGCTGTCAATTCAGAATCATTTCGCGTTCGAGCAGCTCAGTTCTTTAATTTTTAACAATTTTCCAAACGTAAGAAATTGTAAATAAATTAAAAGTGTTTTGAATTAATACGAGCGTTGGGTCCATTTTATAATGTATTTATAATCATTTTCTGCCCAAAAATCCCAAATTAAAAATTTTCTAAAATTTTTATATATATATGCCTTATTTATCTAAACAAACTTGTTGTTTGTAAGACTAGTAAACTTTGAAATAGATAAGAACATTTTTTTTTTATTGGATACTTTGTTTTTTTTTTTTTAATTTTGCATCTTTTTTTGCGTGCACAGAAATAATTGAAGTATTTCATCCCAGCGATGCTAATTTAATTACGTTTGTGTGCGAAAAGGTAGCTCAGTGAAGCCAGAAGATAACCAACTTAAGCACCATTTAAATTTTATGTCTCGTGCTTTCACTCGATTTAAGCATTGCATGTTCAAATTCAAATCGAGTGAATAATAATTGAAGCTCGATTCAAATATTCAGCACGCTCCATCGAGTCTTCTGTTGTGTTGTGGGCTGCCATTAATTGAGTGCAATTATGTGATAAATCGAGAGTGAAAAAACAATAAAATAATAATAAAAACAATAAAATAAAATAATATTTATAATTAAATTTAAGCAGAGCTTAAGTGTTATTTGGATTTTGTTAAAAGAGAAAAAAGAATATCGCATTCCCATTTTAAATAGTTAAACAACGAGAGTGTAAAAACAATAAAATAATAAATAAAAATAAAAAATAATAATGAAAGTAAATATAATAATATAAAATATAATATAATGAAAAAAAGCTGAGAATTCCCATTTTAAATAGTTTAACACAGTCAAACTTTTCGCCTTACCCTTCCGCATATTTGAGAGACAATTTCCTGCTCGTATATCAGTTTTTATTTGCTTTTCGAACAACAATTTGTGGCCTTGCCTGGAAACTGATTTTAAAACAAATGTGAAAACGGGAATAAAACTCAAAATATGTAATTAAATTTGCGCTGCGCATTTCTTTTCGTTTATTACAAAACGGAAACATAACTCAATTTTCTACGTGCCTGTATTTGTGGGTTACTGTGTGTGTGTGTGTGTGAGTGTGTGAGTGTGTGAGAGTGTTATGTCCCGGAGCATAATATGGCCAAATCTTGTCAATCCTTTAGATGACGACTAACCCGTCTGGCACTAAATATTTAATGTTGCAAATGAGGGTCGTCCGGTTGGTCGTGAGCTGAGCCAGCCGCGGTCAGGCTTTGATTCCGGGAACACTAAAACCACCAAACACCATGAAACCACGTAACCACGTAACCAATGGACCCCAATGGGCCAATGGAATAGTGTGGTTCGTCGCCGTGAACTATGGCTTAATTTGCGCAATCCGGCGGTCAGGCCAATAGGCCAAAACCAGCTGCCTGCTAATAATATGAAAGAGTAAGCATCTGTTTGGGTGTGACCGACTAGCAGATACTCTCAGCACAGCAGTTAGAAAATGCCAGCTTCCTTCCGTAAACATAAGCAGGCGGTATGCCTCTGGTTTAGTTTGGAAATTAATATATATTTAATATTTTCCGGTTATTTTTACAAATAATTTTCGGTCTATAAAGTCCGATTCGGCCTGAAAATGGCCTGTACAAGAAGCAAGAAAACAATGTGATTTCGGATTTCCTTCTACTGTCTGTCGCATTCGTTTGATCAATAACAATATACCCATTTACCCATTTTGAATCAACTAAGGGTATAAAAAACCACGAGCATCACTCGCTGGTCAGCTTAGCTAGCTGAAATCCTTTCAACACGAATTGCTTTTAGCGAGCCCTCGACCCCACACATTAGGGTATAGTCCGAAGCGTTTTGCCAGCCATTAGTTAAATTTTATATGCCCAGACGTAGCTTCTATATTTACACACTGAGATACTTTCTTGCTTTTTAGATACTTTTTTTGTGAATTCACTCAGCGGAAAGGTCTTTAAACGAATTGAAGTCTGTGTGAAGGGCTGTGTCTGCATCCACATTCTTTGTTGGCCCTGTCATGTATCAGAACATTTAATTAAATTGGAACTGAAGCTAGCCAGGACCCGGATCCTTGCTGCGATCCTGCACTATATGAATTTAAATGAAGCCAACGGCGAGTGTCCTAAAGAACTCTGTAAATCATGTGCATATTTCTGCGAATTCAGTTTGTTCCCCATTTTATACCCTTACAAAGAGTATAAATGTGGTTGAAATGTGTAATGCATAGATGGAGATGCCTCTGAGTCTATAAAGTATATATATTTCTGTTCAGTATCAACAGCCGAGTCGCTATATCTGTCCGTCTGTCTGTTTCTATGCGCACTAGTTTCTCAGTTTCAAAGCTATCATAATGAAACTTTGCAGAGGTCCCTCTTTCTGTTGCACGCAGCACATACTTATGTCGGAGCCAGTTGGATCGGACTACTTTTTTATATAGTTTCCATAGGATCGATCGGTCGAAAATTAGGTTATTGTATGGGAAAGTTTTTTATTTTTCAAGATATCTTAACTATTTTTCCTCTGCTTCTCAAAGGTATTAAATCTTCGGTGTGCGTTCTTTCTCGTTTTATTTGATTATTAAGTTTTCAGCTTTTCCAATGCCCCTCCTCCCACCCCGCTGTGTGGTGACAAGTGCCTGGCGGTTGGGTGCCTTTTGGCACTTGCTGCTTGAGATCTCATTGAACGAATGCCAACGTCTGGATTGGCTTTGTTCCTCAATTTACACATAATTGCAATAAATTGACACGAGGGCAGGGCAAACAGGCGAAATATATATATTGTGATCCCCACAACACGCAGCTCCCCTTCCAATCTAGAGACAAATATAAAGTAATGCAACCATCGATTGTCTCTGTTCCCCGCCGGGAGAACGAGTTCGGTTTCCCATACACAACACAGGGGCATAAATATCTGCTGGCTTCTTGATAAACTCAAAGGCGATAGGATAACGTATTTACTGGCAGCCAAGTACTTTGGCTTCTGGCCTCTTGGCCATGGCTTTTAAGTCATGCTCATGACTAGTTGTTGCCTTATGCTTTTCTTTCTTTTTGTACGCTGAACTGAAATTTATTTATCAGATAAAACGTAGCAGCTCGCATCGAATTTTCTTTTCCATATAGAACTCTATATAAGAGTTTATTTTTAAAGCACGTCTCGAAAATGAGCCAAGCTGCTTTTGTAGGTTTGCGTATGGTATTTATAGATTGAATTATTACACGTTCTAAATAGCTTCTCCCATTCCCCTCATAATTGAAAAATACTCATTTTCTTATGTAGAAACATGAGTACAAATGGACGCCGTTTATGGGCCCTCAAAATTGAAGAAAGATCGGAAAAAAAGCTACGATTTTTATAAAGAATGCATTTTCCTGTTTGCTTTACACGTATTAAACGAAGCTAGACTATTTCTAGGGCATCTCCTAGTCAAGCGCACCCGATCTACTGACTTAGCTTTATCAAAACTGACATTTATATTGCATGTACAATAGGACGTATGCTACTCTAACTATATTTATATTCATTAACTGTCCTAGTTGTAGTTTCTGTGAAATACGTCATGGATAATTAAATTAAATTTATGGAACTGTGCGCATATGTTGGCATAAAGTATAAAGCATAAAATATAAAATACCCTTGCAGATATAAATCAGATATGGAAATTGTGTGATATAATACTTTTATGCTCATAAGAATTTTTTGCATATAGCAAGGATGTATTTAGATGTACGGATATATGTATTATTAGAATTATATACTTTGACATAAAAGCGGACACAAGAAATCCCACTTAACTTAATCTATGCGTTACATATTTAATGAATATTCTATAATACCCTCCACTGCTTGTGTAATAATGTAAAAATGTATAACAATATTTAAAAAACTCTAAACTGACATAGTTAGGCTTTTAAAAATGTCCGGTTTAGCCCCCTTGGAAAGTTTGAAAGCTTAGCTCGACGTGTCCCCTAGTTGATTTCGAGAACAAATTAAGAATTTCCAGCGCAATTATGGCGCCAAATTTTGAGCACGAAAATTTTGTCAAATCGCTTTGGCAAATTGCGTTTAAGTAGGCCTTCGCCTGGGTCGAGCGTAATTGCTTTCATTTTAAATATTTTAATACACACGCAAACAAATTAAAAGCGCATAAACAATTTATCTCGCGCCCACGCAGACAAAAAAAAAAAAAAACAGATTGCCAGCGACTTTTGCCTCTACAGACATGTGTGTATGTTTGCGTGTGTGTGTGTGTGTGTGTGTGTGTGTGTGTGTGTGTGTGCCAGGCACCCCTTTTATTTATATTGGTATTTGCGGATATTGTTTAAACTTTTGGCTGCTTTTTGTTAGGTGCGAAAGCAAACACATAGCCATAAATAAATTTTCCCGACAAGGCCCGCGCAGCTCATTAAAAAATCATTTTGATGAATTTTAGTCAAGAAAATGCTCAACCTCTCTCTTTCTCTTTCTCCCCAACTCCCACTCCCACACTCCCTCGCGCTCTCAGTAGCTGCCGCTGGAGCAGGGCATGTGGCCAATTTGCAGCGTGGCATTAAAATTAATTTTATTTAAATATATTATGAGTGTATGTGTGTGTGTGTGTGTGAGGCAGATTAAAAAAAATTCTGCGAGCTCTTTCGCCTTGGCAATTACAATTCAAGTTCATTTCGTTTCCATTGTGTGGAACAAGCCAAACAAAAGCCGAATCTAAATGAAAA